CTTTCCTCCCAACGCCTGCTCAACTACAGCGATTGCAGAGCAGAGTAAATATGTATGCTAGACGTGCTATGCGAGGGCTGGCCACTAAGGAGCAGAACGGGCATAAGGTTTCGATCAGTAACGAAGAGGTTTGTAGATACTGGAAGATGGCACCACTTGAGATCGAACTGCGCGCACGGCGTATCAAGTGGTATCAGCGCTGGGTTCAACAACCTGATCGTCACCTGGCAGAATGGGCAGCTTTGTTTGGCACCATGCAAATCGAGTCGCAGAGAGGAGTGCAGATCGTTGGACAGGACGAGCGCCTTACAGAAGATGCTTGCCCCTGGGCTCGTAGAGTAATATCAGATATTAACTCCCTGGCTGACTTAGGAGATGACGAATATGAACATGTACAAGAATTTGATAGCAGTCCATTGAGAATATTCCAGGACGAGAGCTTAGTCGAATGGTTCACCCAGTTTGACCCAAAGAAGTTGCGAGCTAAGTGGTTAAGTGTAGCTATCCCCCCTCCTGGATATGCTCATCCTCAGCCTCAGGAATCACGACCCGACCCGCCACAAGCAGCAGGAGATATGTTACCATGTTCAGTACCAGGATGTACTCGTTCTTTCCATACCTCCAGGCAGTTATTGGTTCACCTCAGCAGGGGGCATGAGTTCAGATCTATCCTTGGTCTGGCAGTTACTTCTAATGTATGTTTTGTCTGCGAGAGCGTTTTCGAGAGCCGTAACTCGGTCTATAAGCACCTCATCGACTCCTTCGAAACGGGTATATGCGTCACACAAAGAAGTACGACCTTCAAACATCCAGGCCAGGACAACACTGATGAGTGCCCATTGTGTAAGGCTCAAATACTTGCTGGGGCTCCGCTGCGAGCCCACATCCGTACGCATTTTCTCCACCTCCCAGCACTCGACGATGCCAGGAGAGGGCGCGGCAGCAGCGGCGAGGCCCAACGAGCAAGAGGCAGTAGGAGGCTCGGAGATGGCGGCAGCGCCAGACTGGATGATCATCGGCACGGCCAACAAGCGCAAGGAGCTGGACGACACCTCGGACGCCCAGGAGAACAAGAAGGGGCGGCTGGCCGAGCAGGTCAAGCGCGACGGGCTCAAGATGGGCAACTTCAAGGCGCTGCTCGCCATCCTCACGAAGCTCAGCATCACGAACTCCAGGGAGCTCGCCGACCTCACAGGCGCCTGCTTCACGTGCTTTCTGCTCCCCGCGGGCGCCCCGCTGATCGGCATCATGCAGCAGGCGGGCAAGGCCTACGCCCAGGACTGCTAGAAGAAGGGCAAGCAGCACGGCAACGGCCCCCCGTGGCCGCACGTCTTCCTGGCTCTCCTGAAGCACTTCTGCCAGATGACGAATTTGGACGAGCCGTCGATCAAGGCGTTCAAGACCTACTGGGGGGTGATCACGAGCCTCAGCAAGGAGGAGGGCCTGATCCAGCTGCAGGAGCAGATCAGGTTCCTGCGCATCAAGGGCTGCTGGTACGACCGCAAGAAGGACGACAAGCCGACCAGGTTCAAGCTGCAGTTCATGATGAGCCCCAACTCCCAGGTCAATGGAGTGAGGAACACCTCCGACCAGACCAACACGATCCCGCTCCACCAGGCCTTCTGCATGGCAATCCTCAAGCAGGGCGGGGAGTACAAGGCGGGCGGACCCCCCAAGGGGGCGCTGGAGAGAGAGGCGGAGAGGCTGCTCAAGCGCATGGGGATCGAGAGCGACAGGCAGACCATCGAGGTAGACAGCGACCAGGACGGGGAGGGGTTCTGAGGCCGTTGCGTCTTGAAGCAGAGAACGGATCTGAGCGTATGGCAGAGATGTATAGGGAAGGCCGCCTCACGGGCATACAATTACAGGCCCTGCAGGCCCGCGTCCACCACCCCATCCTCAGGTATTTTAACGGCAGACGCAGTGTCTTGTTGCATCAGGTTGGCAGTGCAGATCCCCCCGCCATCATGTCATTTGAAGAGTTCCAGCAGCGTAGTGAGCAGGTGCGCAGAATAGAAGTCAATGTAGAGACAGTGCCGAATCAGAGCAACCGTGCCGCTAGTAGATATCTCCACCCCAATCCCATGCCGCCAGCAGAGTGACTCTGGCATTGGGGTCGCCTGTAGACACAGAGCAACGGGAATCAAAATCTGGCGGGGCATTTCTTTACCAGTCCGCTGCGGGCCGCGGCAGTGCGGGCCGCAGCAGTGCGGGCCGGCCAGGCTCTAGAAGTCAATGTAGTGACAGTGCCGAATCAGAGCAATCGTGCCAGAGCAATCGTGCCGCTAGTAGATATCTCCACCCCAATCCCATGCCGCCAGCAGAGTGACTCTGGCATTGGGGTCGCCTGTAGACACAGAGCAACGGGAATCAAAATCTGGCGGGGCATTTCTTTACCAGTCCGCTGCGGGCCGCGGCAGTGCGGGCCGCGGCAGTGCGGGCCGCCCAGGCTCGGGGTTTTCCATATTGCAAGAGAGAAGTGAGAAGCGTTGCGACCTTGCTCACTTGTCCTCCCTCCTTCCCCTGCTCTGTCCGCCCGTGCTTGTTCCTTTCACGAAGGATGGTGCCGCGTGCGGGCCGCTGGGCGTTCCCCTTACAGCGGTCCCGCTTCGGCCAGAGAGGGCCATCCTTCCAGCGTCGGCCGCTGGTAGGCGATAGTTCGCATCCAAGAGCCTGCAGAGGTCACCAGGACTGCTGAGTGACAGAGGCTCGCAATGGTTGATTGATTGATTGATCCTCCTCCTCCTCCTCCTCGTCCTCCTCGTCCTCCTCCTCCTCCTCCTCCTCCTCGTCCTCCACCTCCTTCCCCTCACGCCTCCTCCTCCTCCTCCTCCTCCTCCTCCTCCTCCTCCTCCTGCTCCTGCTCCTCCTCCTCCTCCTCCTCCTCCTCCTCCTCCTCCTCCTCCTCCTCCCGTGGGGGGTCCGGGGCGCGGGCGCCGGGCGCTCGGGGTGCGGATCTGTTCCTGGCCGCAGGGAGCGCGGGAAGTGGCTCTTCGGCCGGGAGGAGTTCCACGCCGCCGCGTACTCCTTCAACCTCGGTGCGTCCTACATCGCGGAGGCCTGCCACCGCCACGTCGCCGAGGCCGCCGGGGGCCGCCGTGCGGATGGGTCGGCCGAGGAGGTCTCCGACGAGGCCATCTCTTTGAGTCGGGCCTGTCCCCTTACAGGAGGAATACTGAAAAATAGTCCACAAATCGTATCCGGACGATTTTTTGAGTATGTTTGGATCATCTTGGGGCATTTTTTGACCAGCTTTCACTCTTCTCCCAAAGCCCCCCTGTAGGGGGACAGGCCCGACCGAAGGCCATCTCCCTCTGCTGCACCCTCTACACCAACCTGGCCCTGGCGCAGCTCCAGGCCGGTGGCCAGATACCCGGCAGTGCCCTGGAGACGTCCGAGGCCGCCCTGGCACTGCAGCCGCGGAACGCCAAGGCCTGGTACCTCAAGGCCAAGGCGCATCTGGCCGCCGGCCCCGTGACCGAGAAGGGCCGCCAGGCCGCCGTCAGCGCCCTGGAGCAGCTGCTCGTCCTGGAGCCCGGGAACCAGAAAGCCGAGGAGCTGCTGCTGTCGGCGAAGGACATGGCTGTGTCGGACGAGGGCTCGTACGCGTTCATGTCCAGCAGGCCGTACCAGTGGATGGTCACCGGTCTCCTCCTGGCGACGATGCCGGTGTTTTTTCGCATGGTCAAGGGCGACGTCGGCCGGATCATGTTCTGGCTGAACGACACAGCCCCCGAGGGGATGCTCGCGGACGACGTGTCACTCTGACCTTGGAGTTGGAGGGATAGAAGGAGGCGGCGGAGTGTGGGGATTAGATAGAGGATGAGGGGTAGTATGAGGGTACGCGGCAGGATGAGGAGAGAGGCCACACTTCGCCAGACATACCAGGGAAGCAATACAGGATTCAGAGGCGTGGTCCCTGATCGGAGGCCGATGGTAAACCATGACTGAGGCTGGTGGGTTGTGCCCAAATGACCCTGGCGACGAACTCTCTATGTGGCAGGTGATCATCAATCAGCCCCTCATCGCTTGCCTGTCCCCAGCACTTGGGGAGGCGACTTCCTGGAAGCTGGCTTGGTTTCGGGGTCCCCGGCGCATGCTCACCGCTGTACCCCGAAGGCTGCCCCGGCGGTTGCTCGAGATGCTGGCGGGCTGTGTGTCCGGGTCTCTTGACGTGTGCCGCTGTCTCCGTCGTAGGCCACGACGAGCACGCAGGCGGGCGCGGGCGAGCGGGCGAGGTAGTGCCCCGATCTCGACCCGCTCCGATCCCCGAAGCTTCGATTCCGACCTCGAGCCGGCCCGACCTGGCACGAGCTTCTTCCTCCTCCTCCTCCTCCTCCTCCTCCTCCTCCTCCTCCTCTCATTTCCCCCCCCCCACCCACCCCCCCTCCTCCTCCTCCTCCTCCTCCTCCTCCTCCTCCTCCTCCTCCTCCTCCCCCTCCTCCCGCTCCGGTCCGCAGCGAGCCGATCGCGCCCGACCCGCGAGCCCAGGCGGTGCGATGCCGAGGCGGCTCCGCGGCGCTTCGGGAGCGACGTCGGAGCCGTGCCGGGTGCGATCCGGTTCCGCGGACCGATGCCGGACATGATGGCGTCGTGAACCTTCTCCCTCCTCCCCCTCCCTCCTCCCTACCCTCCCTCCCTCCCTCCCTCCCTCCCTCCCTCCCCTCCCCTCCTCCTCCTCCTCCTCCTCCTCCTCCTCCTCCTCCTCCTCCTCCTCTTCCTTCCTGTCTTCCTCGTCCTCCCGGTGGATACTGCAATTGTGAATACTGCAGTTGTGAATATCTTCTCGGTGGAGCCCCCTACGGGGCCACGAAACGTACGAGGGGTGTGCCGAAATGGGTGTGCGGGACGCATGCGGGCACACCCACTGGGGCCTTCGGAAATCAGGACGGGCGGTGTTTGGCCATTTTCGGCCCTGGGGGGCCCCCGCCGGGCCTCGGGACCGTCAAAAAACATGTCAGGACGAAGAACGGGTCCCGGGGAGAGGGTCGGGACATGCGGGGACGCCGTCCTGGAAAATCAGGACGTCGCATGTCTGGGATGCGGCGCAGGCCTGGCGAGGCCAGTCTCGTGCGTTCTACCCCTACCCCCTGACTTCGGATCCGCCGTACTTTGGTTGACTCTCCGACTTGGAAGCGTGCCGGAAAAGCACCACGAACACTGCGAACCAGTATGGCGGAAACGCCCACCTCAGGGAGAGAGATAGCGCGGACACTTCCGCAGGGCTGTGGCGAAAACGGCGGCGGCAGGGCAGGGCGGAAATCGGCGCCAAAGGAGCCCGGCAAGCGGGGCGGAGATTGCCGCCCTACACCTCATGCGATGCTTAAGAAAACCTAAGTTTTCGGCCAGAGTGTCGATTATTCTTACCGTTTCAATGTAAATCCCAAGATTTTGATAGAAGTTCTGGGTTTTCTTCCATTTCTGAGACTACGAATTTCTGAACCCATGATTTCTTAAGCAGTTCGCAGGGTGTGCTCGCGAAACCAACCGAAGTACGGCGGATCCGAAGTCGGGGCCAGGTGGGGTGGGGGGGGGGGGGTGGCGGTGCGCAGCGTCGGCCGGACGCCTGGGCGGCTCCGCGCCGCCCGTGGCACCGTGCTGGTTCGGGGTGCAGTGCCTCGCCGTGGGGCGCGGGAGGATCATTTGAAGTCGGGCGTGTCCCCCCTATACAGGAGGATGTTCGACGAAAATAAAAAAAGATACCCCCAAAGATACCCCCAACATGCCCCAAAAAGGGAAACAAACTATTCAAAGAATAGTTCCCAGGCTATTTTTGGATCATTTTTTGATTATTGTTGGGGTATTTTCTATTTTTCGTCGAAAATCCCCCTGTAGGGGGACAGGCCCGACTTGAGGAGAACTCGGACGATTCTGGCCTCGGGCGCGACAGCATGCCAGCGAGCCTGCGATCATGTCGCCCAGTCTGGAGGATGAAGTTCTCACACCATGGTTTCCCACCTGGGTGCACACACACACATATATATATATGTATGTATGCGCAAGTCTGCTCGCCACACGTGTAGGCATGTGCCCTCACACCCCACCAAATCCAAATCCTCACCCGTTTGGGCGACTGGCTCTCAAAGCGAAGGGCGTGACTGCCAGGAGGAGCAGTCAGCCACGCGCAGAGGGGGGTAGGGGGAGAGGCCGAAGGCTTCTTAGAAGCGCCCCTGCTCCTTGGAAGGCGTAGGCCTTGTCTGTAGATGTCAGGCCTGCGCCTTCTAAGCAGCAGCCTCCTTCTAAGAAGCATTCCCCCCTCCCTCTACCCCCTTGTGCGCGCCGCCAAAACAGGCAGGGACCCACACATCCGGCCGCGTCAATTTTTTCGATGCGTGGGCCCTGGAGGTCAGGACCACTTCCCGAGGGTCGTTTTATCTTCCTGGGTCATTGTTGACGCCCCCGAGGCCTGGCGAGGGCTTCCAGAACCTGTATCAGTTAAAGTCTGAAGCACCCACCACGGGTTTCTTGAATCACCCCCTTCCGCCACCCCTCGATCCCATGGAAAAGTAGAACTCCCTGCACACGCCGACGGAGTCCCCTGCAGCACGCAAACTGTCCTGCGCAAGCCGATCCGGACCGCTTGCGATCCTTCGCAGCAAATACCATGCGGTGCACATCGGCTGGCTTTCAGATGGTCGTTCGCTTACGATCAGGAGGAGAAAAACACACAGACACAATGACTTGTCGATTCCCCCGAAAATGCGAGAAAATATGGAAAGTGTAGGGGGAGGACAACCTCCCAGAAAATATGTGAAAATATGGGGGGAGTCCTGTTATTTGTGTGCATTTCTTCGTGTGTCCCTAGGGCCCCTTCGCACGATCCTGTGCAGCAGATGCACTCTCCCTGCGCACGTCGAGAGGCTCGCCTCCAAAACGCTGTCGAGCACTCGGATCGCCCCAGGCGCGCTCGCGAGCGGCGCCCCCTGGAGCGCCGCAGCGCGCCCGGGAGCCCGACGCTCCCCCGGCGGCATGAGCGCGGGCCAGGGGCAGGCGCCCCCAGAATCGAATCGATAAGTCGGATCGGCGATCGAAATTAATCGGATCGGCGGAAATCGGCAGCCGAGTCGGGAAAAGTCGAATCGGCGGGAATCGGCAGGTCAGTGGGCCTCCATTGAGGAATCGGAGGCCACCGAAATCGAATCGAGTCGGTCGGGCTCCCAGGCGCGTCCCGACGTGTCGGAGGTGGACAGACCTCCTACAGTGGAGACCCATGCCAAGAAACACCCTTCTTACCTCCAGGGTGCCCTGGGTTTCTTGGGTTTCGATGGTTTTGCCATGGCAAGCGTGACGTGCCCACACCAAGAATCGATGGGCGTCCTGGGGTCTCAGGGTTGGGTTTCCTGTGGAAGGTTTCTTGTGGTCAGGCCCCCACTGTACCCTGACACGTCGATTGAGGAATTGGCCGTTTTCGGTTCGCGAGAGGGCGTCGCGGCCGTCATTTTTGCGGGTCAAGGTCCGTCGATTTCGGCCCCAGGTCGCTTTCACTAAGGGGAGGTTTACTAAAGGGAGGTTTGTCCACCGCCGAGCGTGCCCCAGCCGCGCGGGCCACCATCGCCCATCTTCGCTGGCACCTGGCGCCGCCGAGAATCGCCGCCCCATCGACGGCAAGTGCGGTATGTTTGGGGTCGTCCCAGAGATCCGACGCTCCGACAGAGATTGGAGCGGCGGGTTTGGCGCCGTTTTCGGCCTCCGGGGGCCCTCGCCGGGCCTCGGCGGCGTGACACAAACGACTCAGGGCGAAACACCGGCCCTGGGGAAGTGGTCCGGGCCTCCAGGGCCCACGTATCGAAAACGTTGGATCAGGGGGATGTGTTGGGGGATATTGGGTGGGTGGGGTACAGTAGCGGGCCAAAGCCCTAAGCCCTCGAGTCGACTCCCGAACTTCCCGAGTCGGGTCGAGGCCTCCCTCCCTCCCTTCTCCCCGGCTCTGTCAGGCCGCCTTGGGCTGTCTTGGGCCGTCTGGGGGGCCTCTCGGGACTCTCTTCCCAGACCCCTGGGCGTCATGTTTTTTCTATGACGCCGACGCCCATGCGGAGGTCCCGACTCATTTCTTCGATGCTCGTTTGGGGGACCTTCCTGGGGCCCACCTAATGGATCTGTTCGACTCAGGTTCGACTCAAAATCGACTCAGGTTCGACACAGATTCGACTCAGATTCGTCTCAGGTTCGACTCAGGTTCGACTCAGGTTCGACGCAGCTTCGACGCACGAGTGGAGCGAGTGGCTCCAGGAAGGTCCCTCTTTGAGTCCTCTGGGGGGGGCCCTTTTGGGGCTCTTCATAGGCCAGGAGCGATGCCAAAGCGACGTTGCTTCAGAGCCCCCCGCCCCCCTGGAGGACCGCAGCGAAACATAGCGAAAACCAGGATCCGCTCCCCGGGACCAGTTGTTCATCTTGCGAGGCGTTTTTGCGACGGCCCCGGAAGGCTTCCAGAGGCCGAGAGTAGCGAAACACCGGATCCGCTCCCCGGGGCCAGCTGTTCATCTTGCGAGGCGTTTTTGTGGCCTCTGGGGGCCCGCGAGGGCCCAGAGGCCGAACATAGCGAAAAGCAGGATCCGCTCCTCGGCACCCAGTTGTTCATCCTGCGAGTCGTTTCTGTGACGGCCTCTGGGGGCCGGCGAGGGCTTCCAGAGGCCAAACATAGCCCCAGACTCTGTGTTTGGATTGTTTTGTAATGAATTGTCGATTTTCAGTTTTTCATGGGTGCGCGCGTTTTGCGCCAGCGGCCACGCCGCGACCTGCATCTAGCGACGTAGATGTTTTGATTGGCCAGCACTTACTGCTAACGAATATGTCGCTATTGCTAGCGAACGCGCTCGAATTTATCCGTAAGGGCTTCGCCCCATGCCGCCGGCCCCCTGTCTCGGAGAATGGGAAAGGCAAAAGCTAAATCATTAGGTCTGGGCGCCGCCGTGAAGCAGTGTCGGGACCTGTTTGTTTTTCGACCCTGACCCTACGAATCTGCGTCACGGGTGCCACCGGATTTCAGAGATGTGGCACATTTGTTTTTCCGACCCTGACCCTATGGATCCGCGTGAGGGGTGCCGCCGAATTTCAGAAATGTGGCAAATCCCCTTTGTTTTTGGACCCTGACCCTGCCGATCTGCGCGAGGGGTGCCGCCGAATTTCAGAAATGTGGCAAATCCTTTTTGTTTTTGGACCCTGACCCTGCCGATCTGCTTGAGGGGTGCCACCAGATTTCAGAAATGTAGCAAATCCCTTTTGTTTTTGCACCCTGACCCCGCCGATCTGCGCAAGGGGTGCCACCGAATTTTCAGAGATGTGGCAAATGCTTTTTGTGTTTTTGGATCCTGATCCCGCCGATCTGCGTGAGGGGTGTTGCCGAATTTCAGAACAAATCGTTTGTGCTTTTGGACCCTGACCTTGCCGATCTGCGCGAGGGGTGCCGCCGAATGCCAAAAATGTAGCAAAGCCCCTGTGTTTTTGGACCCTGACCTTGCCGATTTGCGCGAGGGGTGCCACCGGAGTGTCAGAAATGTTGCAAATTCTTTGTGTTTTTGCACCTTGACCCCGCCGATCTGCGTGAGGGGTGCCACCGAATTTCAGAAATGTGGCAATTCCCTTGTGTTTTTGGACCCTGACCCCGCCGATCTGCGTGAGGGGTGTAATTTTACCCACCCCAGCAATTCAGGGCATACGATTTGGGCGTGGAGAAAATACTTTCGTTTTGGGCCTCCCCCCCTCGCGCGGTCCATCAACAAGGAACAGTAAGCAGCAAGCAGTCAACAAGGAACAGTAAGCAGCAACAAGCAGAATTGTAACAGTGGAAACTGGAAGCTGCAACTGGCACAGGAAATTGCGAAACTTCGTCCTACAGCCTGGTGGCCCGACAAGGGGGCCCGCGGATTTACGCTTCGCGGCATGTACTCTGGCAGTCATGTGATTAGATAGCTTCCTAACAATGGTTTGTGCGACTTGCCAGAGTGAGGGGCCGAACGGTCTCACGCGTTGTCCCTGGGCGCGTGGCTGAAACGGGGTTCCGTGGTATCTGGGGCGGTGTCTCGTTTTCTTGGTCGCACGTTTAAAAGTGGTTAGTTCCACCTGAGTTCGCGACTTGTCTCGAAATTATCATTGCCCATTACCGAGATGATGTGGGCATCGAGGTGCCATCATTTGCTTGGGCGATCTAGGTGGGCGCACTCGATGGGGTCTGACGCGCGAACCACGCACTATGCGCAACTGCGGGTGCAAATGTTCCTTGCTCGAACCTTGGCACCTCGGTCTGGTGCCCGTGCATGGGGCGCCCTGGGTGTGGGATGCCGAAGCCCGAAGTATCCACGGGTAGATCTCCACAGCCAGATGTTGTGACCTTCTGACGTCGCGTTGGCCCCCCCTTCCCATTCGCGCTTTCATTCGCGCTATGATGTTCATCCTCCACGTCCTCCTCCTTCTCCTCCGCTGCCTTTACTTTCTCCCCCTTCCTCTCCCCGCTGCCCCGAAAGCCGAGGTGCGCATGTTATATTCGCAGGGGGGGGGGCTGGGCCCTTTTAAACTATTCCCTACTCGCCTGTAGCGGTCATGCCGAGCGGGAGTTTCGAGGTCTGGGCATCCTAATATCAGCGCTGCCCAGAGCACTTTGGGCTCGTGGTGCGAGTTTTTTCGGTGCAGGCTTACGTGTTCTATCTTTTTGGGCTGACAAGGCGCCTAAGAAGCCTCGGAAGAAACGCTCGCCCGTGATGAAGGTCGACGAGGGGGCGCTCAAACACGAAATCCTATCTCATGCGTAATTGCGCAAAGTGCCGTGGAGGTGGGATGGGCAACACTACTCCAAGCCGCTGCGCAGTCTCGGCCCTGACCAGGATATGTTCATCGTCTCGACATCTATGCTGAAGGTGCTCGCCAAGCACGCGGAGAACTGACGCGCCCCGACCTCGGTTCCATGAGGAGCGTTTGGATATCTTTTGATTTCGACCACGTCATCTAGGAGAACAGAGACGGCGGCCAGTTCAACGCGGCACAGAAGGCGTGCGACGCCTGGAGGAAGATGCTCAAGGACTGCCTCAACATGAGGAAGAACCACACCAAGGTCACCGACGCTAGCTTGCAGGAAGAGATCGACATGTTGAAGCCCAACAAAGAGCTTGCCCCTGCATCCGACGTGGCTGCAGAGTCACCCGCAGTACCGTTTAATGGCGACGGGTTCCCAGGAGACATCGTGCGCTGCGGGCCCCAGCAGTGGCACCGCGCACGTCGACGACGAGGTACAGCTAATGGGGGCGACCTGCATGTGCGAGAAGTGTCTGAAGGTCGCGGTTGTGGACGCTGATTGCGAGAACGACGATTGCGCCGAGGCCCCCCCTCCGACCAAAGGGGCTCAGCGCGGCAGCAAGGCTCGCGGCAGCGAAGCAACAGCGGGCCAAGAAGAGGCGCTCGTTGGGCCATTCAGCGCGGTGAGAAGGAGGACGGGCAAGCAAGAAGCGCACCTCGCGGGGCCGAAGTACGTCGTCGGCCTCACATCGAAAGGAGCACCAACTACATGAATATCATCGCCGACTGCAAGAACTTGTTCGAGCCCGGTGGTCTCGAGACCCGCGGGGAGGCGATTCGCCATGTTGCGGAGGCGCTGAAGACGGCCACGGGGCGCGCGAAGTCCAAGGGCAAGGGCGGGGACAGAGCTGCCTCGACGGGCGCTGGCCCCTCGAAGAGCACAGGCAAGGCATAGGGCGAGATGGCCAAGGCCGAGGGCGAGAAGGCCAAGAGGGCCTAAGGTGCGCGAGTCAGTGAGGTCGACTGCTCAGAGTCGGTGGTTCGGGCCCAATACGTCCTCTGGGGTAGGTGACAACGACCCGAACGCTGATGGATACTGCGCCGATGCCGCGTCCAATTCGCGCGCCACTTGGAGCGCGATGATTTCGGACATCTCAAACTCAGCAGTAGCCTAACGCGCCTGGGTGGCAATGCTTTCGCAGCGATGCAAACGCATGCAAAACCAGCGTTGCCTCCGCATTCGAATAGGAATGAGGAGGACAAAGGGGGCGTTTTCTAGGAGGGGGGTCTCAGCTCGACATCTGGGCAGGGCTGGAGCTCGCCCATTTGCGGAGGACAGGGGGTTCATCTCGCCTTCTCGGCAGGGCTGGATCTCGCTGTTTTCGCGAGGCTCGGCGGGGCTTTAGCTGCAGCTTGCTGGGCGATCGCGCTCGACTGTCAGCGAAGGAGCCTGCGGACAGGACGCGCGATGTTTTACTCGTCATTGAGATCAGTGGCGATGCGCGTCGACGCGCGCTGCGTCAGACGTCGCGCCGGGGGGCGCCCGTCCTTGTATCCCCCGGCCCTCTCCTCCACGTCCGCCTTGGCCTCGATGCATTTCCGCGGCCGCGTGGCTCTGGGGGCGCGCGCGGCAGACCTACTGGTCAGAAGCCAATTCCCTGGTCATTTGTTGTGGGGGGCGCGCGAGCTCGACGGTGAATGTCGGCGCGCAGATGGGAGCCTCTTCCCCGTCACCCTGATGCGCGAGGACATGGCGTGGACATTTTCGTCGCGTGAACCCCGGGGGCGCGTCTGGGCCCGCGCGCGCGGCCCACCTGAGAACATCTCGGCGCCGAAGCAGACGCGGGCGCCCACTACTCCCAATGGCCAAGAGGCGAGCGTAGACGTCAATCTCACGCAGACGGGTTGCCCAACAGATGCCAGTGCATGCCAGTGCGCCCGGCTGCTGCGTTGTCGACAGATTTCCCAGCGAAGTTCCAGCGCGCGGCCCCCCCCGCCATGAGCCCCCTGCCGGGGCTGATCAGGCCCCCCCGTAACAGCGTTAGGCGCCACAACGGACCCGCGCGAATGGGCCCCTGGAGCCTGGCGGAAGCGAGCGCGAAAAAGAGGTGGCCATCAAGTTTCCCAGCGGCAGCTGAGGGCTGCGATAGGTGAGAATCCGAGGGGGTGACTGGGCCGACCGTCTGGAGCTTCGCGCGCGCGCGTGGAATTTTCGCCGCCCCCGTCGCCCTCTAGGCGCCACAACGGACCCGCGCGAATGGGCCCCTGGAGCCCGGCGGAAGCAAGCGCGAAAAAGAGGTGGCCATCATGTTTTCCAGCGGCAGCTGAGGGCTGCGATAGGTGAGAATCCGAGGGGGTGACTGGGCCGACCGTCTGGGGCTTCGCGCGCGCGTGGAATTTTCGCCGCCCCCGTCGCCCTCTGTCATTGCCGTCGCAACCGTCCGTCGTTATGCAGGCCATGCGGATCGCAATTGTGGTCTGGTTGGCCTGGTTGGTCAGGCTGGTCTCGGCAGTCTGGATGGCCCGGCTGGTCTGGAATGCGGGTAGTCCTACGCCCCACATGTTTGAGCCGTGGCCCGAGTAGTCCTGGTTTCCATTACTTGATGCGGGTGGGAACGCGCGGCGTGCATCGGAAAGGGCGGGGGTGCAGCGGGTGGCTGTCCGTTTTGTCATTCGGCGCCATTTTGTCGTCGGCTCGCGGAATAAGAAGGGCGCCGATGTCTCGGTGCCTTTCGGTGCCCTCTTGCGGTCGGCTCGCGGGGTAAAACAGGCGCCGCTGCACTGGTGCCCTTGCGTCGTCTGCTCGCAGAATAACAAGGGCACCGATGCGCCGATGTCCTTCTGCCCTGCTGCGGTCGGATCGCGGAGTGCAAGGGCGCCGATGCACCGGCGTCCTTCGGCGCCGTTTTGCGGTCGGTCCGAGGAGGAAAGAGGGCGCCGACGCACCGTTGCCCTTCTGTGCCCTTCTGCGGTCGGCTCGCGGCGTAAAGTGGGCGCCGCTGCACGGGTGCCCTTCGGTGCCTTTTTGCGCTCGGTCCGCGGAGGAGAAAGAGCACCGACGCACCAGTGCCTTTCCGCGCCCTTTTGCGGTCGGATCGCGGGGTAAGTAGGGCGCCGACGAACCGGCGCTCATCGGCGCCCTTTCGTGGTCGGATCGCGGAGCGCAAAGCGCGCCGATGCACCGGCGCCCTTCGGCGCCCTTGCGCGGTCGGTCCGCGGAGTAAAAAGGGCACCGATTCACGGGCGCCCTTCGGCGCCGTTTGGCGGTCGGATCGTGGAACGAAAAGGGCGCCGATGCACCGGTGCCCTTCGGCGCCCTTTTGCGGTCGTTCATCGGAGTAGAAAGGGCGCCGATGGCTGGGCAAGTTTTGGGTCGGCGCTGAGGTTTCGCCGACGCAGAGGGAGAGTCCGAGGGCGGGGAACGCGACAACTCGAGGGTGAGGAGGCAGCAGCAGCAAATAGGAGGGGCGCAGCAGGAGGCAAGACGACTCAAAACTCAAGATATATTTGGGAGATATCTAGGGGAAATATAAGATATCTTGAACATTGAGATGATTTGGAAACACTTAAGATATCTTAGAATTTCAGTTATCGGGCTCCGCTCCGCCCCGACCCCCCTCTCTCTCCACCCCCCCGCCCACGCCGCAGCCGTCGCGGGCTCGACAGCGCCGAGCCCCCCCGCGCGAGCAAGGCGGGGCAGATGGGCCCCAAGCGAGGCGCAGCTCGCGCCGCGAGCGGCCGCGCGGCCAAAGCGCCGAGGGCAGCTAGCGCGCCGCGCGCATCTGCTCAGGCCCCAGGACAAGCGCCGAAGGCAGCTGGCGCTGCCCGTCGTCGAGAAGGAGCTGCCGAGCGGCCAGCTGCGCCTCTCCAAGCTAGGGGTCACCGCCGCGGCCAAGGCACCCCCATCGAAGGCCGCGGCGCAAGTCAGTGCCCGAGCCGAGCCCAAAGCCGCGGGGCCTGTCAGCGCCAAAGCCAAGGCCAAGACGCCAGCCGGCGCCCCGGACCAGCCAAAGGCCGCGGCGCCTTCCGCATATGCGAGGGCAGGGCAAGGCGCCGCGGAAGACAGCCGCGGCGAGGCCAAGACCGACGCGAAATTGCAGAACGACTTCCAGAACCGCATGCATTCCCCGAAAACCCCAGCATGGGTGGAGGACGCTTGTAGAAGAAGAAGAAGAAGACGCATAAGGACCCATGACGCGTTCGTTTCGCGTTGGGGGTGTCGAACGTCGCCAACAAGCAGTACGATGACAGCGAGTGCCTCACGTCGACCTCCAAGGCGCAGCAATCTTTGAAATAATCATCTTCGAAGGGGGCGGCGGGCGGGCGGCGGTCCCACGACGCCGCTGTAGCAAAGGGCGGCAATGCAGTCATCGACGGGGCGATTCGGTTAAGGACTGTCGAGACTCGCTTGCGCAAGGGCCTTCGCGAGGGTCACGCCGCGCCGTGGGCTCGCTGCCTCGAGTTAAAACTGGTCAGGGAGGTCTTCTCTGGCATGAACCACTTGGACAAGGCAGCAGATGCACGGGCCCGCTCTTTTCTCCAGAATTCGATGCACTTGCAGGCGCGCGCGCGCGACTCGGGGCTAGGCGGCGCTGCGCCTGGGCCGGCGCCGTTGCCGCCGTGCCCTGGTGCCCCCGACGCGACCCCCAAGCCCGACCTCGTTGCCCCCCTCAACAACGCTTCGATAGCTTATTCGAAATTGGATCGAGCGGTTTGGCATTGGAAGACAGAGGTCAGCACGAGCGAGAAGAACGCGCACACTCAAAACACCGAGGTGCTCACTGAGCTCATTGACATCATCGAGGGCGGCTCGCAGCTCGATCAGCAGCTCGTGGAGTTTCAGTCCTTGGCGAAAAGCTCAACGGGCAGGTGGCGCCCGAGCAGGGCGAGAACGCCGAGGCGCTCTGCACGGACACCTTCCAGAAGAAGAAGGACGGGGCCACGCGGCACAACATGCTGGCGGCATGGATTCGCATGGAAGAGACGGCTTGAGGCGCGAGGGCATTGTTCGGCCGAGCTCGCCTGCGCTTCGGTTGGGTCGGCTGCGCGTGCATTGGGACACGCCGGCTGCAGCCCGACCACCCCTCCCTCCTCCGCCTCGCCCTCCCCCTTCCCCATGCCCCCTTCGCCCCTCCCTCAGACATCGGGCGCAATGCGACCAAGCGCATTTTGGGACTGTTGTGCGTCATGCGTCGCATGGCCAACCGCATCCTGGACTTAGGCAGCGAAGTCCGATAGTTGCCCCCTCCCCACCGCCATCGCGGCGTCCAGCGATGCCCCGAAGCATATAGGACGGCAGGGCTCCAGCTCGCCTTCTCGGCAGGGCTTCAGTTCGCCTTTGTGGCAGGACTCCATAGGGCTCCAGCTCGCCTTCTCGGCAGGGCTTCAGCTCGCCCTTGTGGCGGGGCTTCAGCTCGCCTTATCCCGGCAAGCGTCGCGGCGGGGGCTGCAGGCATCCGCGCAGGCGTTTGGGCTCGATGGCAGCTTCAATATTCGCGCCGCTGTTCGCTCCACTGAAGGACCACTCATCAGGAAAGGTGGGGGGGGGGGCGGCGCCAGCGAAGCATCGCTGATGAGACTGCGGCCCGCGAGGCGAGATCGCGCAGCCCGCGCCGAGAGACTCGCGAGAGTTGCTAGTTGCATATCAAGAGCTGGGGTCGCGGCGTTGCCTCCGCCCCGCTTGCGCGGCCCCGCGTGGACACGCTGCTGCGCGATGGCTTCGGCCGCCCTGGGCTGCGGCGCATGCGCGCGATCGCGAACCACGAGGGGGATCAGAACGCGCATGCTGGAATGATGAAGCTGGTGGGCCGCGCTCTGGGCACGGGTGGCATGGCGCGCGAGGTCCCAGATGGTCTCGTTTCCCCGGTGACTCCCCCGGCTACAATGGTCAGCATCCTACGTAAGCAGAATCGCCACACATTCGAGCGCGTCTTTGGTACCGGAGCGACGTTGCAAAGTTTTTGGGATGGCGTGTTTGCTACCAGAGATGGGCGATAACTGCGTTCTCTGCGTCCGCACTTGGGGCAAAAGCGCAGAGGATCTCCAATCGGCAGCGCCGTGCACGTTGCGCGAAGACGCCGCCCTCTACAGCGCGTGGCTGTCAACGAACGTCGCGTCTTGGTCGTCCACGCTCGGCAAAGGGCAGGAAATCCAGCGCCAGTGCATCCATCGCGCGGAATCCAAGGTCAAGAGCCAGGCGAAATATTCTGCCGCCGCTGCGTGGGAATTCCCGCCCACGTCGTCTGAGAAGCTAGCACCTGGCCAAAACTTGGATGGATCATGCGCCGCGGCGGACCCGGGCGGCGCAGGGCGACGTGGAGCAATTGTTGAGATGGGGCCACAGGAGTTTCAACGAACCCTCCTCCTCCTCCTCCGCCTCCTCCTCCTCCTCCGCCTCCTCCTCCTCCTCCTCCTCCTCCTCCCCCTCCTCCCCCTCCTCCTCCTCCCCCTCCTCCCCCTCCATCTGAATTCGTTCCGGGTGCGATTTCAATAGGGACGATAAAACCTTACACCGACCTGCGCAGAAATGCCCCCTGGAAGGCCGCGCCGAACCATGACAAGACGGCATGCATAGGCCGAGCGAGCGATGGCCATCCAGTGCGCGATTCACAATACTTCAACAAGTACTTCTTCAGGTACGACGTGATGCATGTCGTGGATCACCATGGCGTAACAGCGGTTGCTGCTGGTGGCCTCCTGGTGCATCTCGTGCGGAACGACCGGCGCCTGGGACCAAATCGAGCCACTCGCCTAGAACGCATAAGCGCGTTCATCAACGAACATCAGAACGCCAACGGCGTGACCCCGAGAATGGCAGAGTTACGACTTCAAGACTTGACCGAGAACGGCTGGGACGAGCTAGGAGGGGTGCTTATCAAAGCTGATACCGCGCGTTGCCTGGTGCCTGTGCTGGTGGCGTTACCGAAGAAGTATAATTTCGACGACCCTCGCAACCCCCTTCACATAATAATTGCGGGCTTCATTGTGGCAACCGATGATGTGTACAATGCGTTGTGCGGCGCCTCTGTTTTTGTTCCTGGGCGGTGCCGGGAAATCGAAGTTGGAAGGCGCAGTTTTCAGCGTGAGGGTTTTCCCCATGCAAGGCCGCCAATACTCAGCGCGCGCAGGTGTAGATGCTTTCCCCGTTCGCCCGAAGGCGCACTACGCCCAACACGTTCCGAAGCAGCGTGCGCTCATCACTAGTAGGTTTGCGCAATGTTACCCCGAAGAAAGCATGATGGGCGTAGTGGCCCGCATATACAAACAGACGTGCACGGGCGCATACCGCAAGCGCGTTCAGCGCTGCGTCCTTCTTGAAGTTTTGAGTTGCTGGTGCATAGAAATGAGGCTGTGATGAAGGCGATCATAGACGCCACTGTTGCTGCTGGTCATCGCAATGACATGTGTATATATATATACACATCTACATATAGGTGTGTACATTCAGAAATAAACATCAAACTGTAAAACACGCTCGCGCATGCATTGGGAGACCGCGGTTGCGAATACGTGCGAGGCGCAGGCGTTCTGGGATTCAGACCGCTTCTAAGACGTTTAGCCAAACCGTCCAAGCACGTAGAGGCGCATCAGCATGACAAGAAATGGTAGAACATCCAGCACAATTTTCGAGACGCCCTTCTAGAAGTCAGGCGGCTCGTTTGAGCCGCCTGAAACAGGACACACAATACAACGAAACGCCCAGCACGCACTGCAAAACCCACGAGACTCCCACAGTGTAGGACCGTTCGGTATCCCACTGCTGTGTATATGTATAGATACGCATGGCTTAAGATGGAATTACTTAATTACATATGTCTGGCCTGGAAGCAATGGGGGACATGTATGCAGTAATGGCTATTTTCACTATGCCAAACGATTCCTTCGCCTCCTCTGTCGAGGCCAAACCATAATCACATCAACGCGCGTCCAGTGATACGGCCGTTTCCTTGCGATTCTTTTGCGATTCGGAGCTTGACGAGCTCGTTATAAAACAAGACAGACGCAGAGTCTGGGGCGCAGAACCCCCCGTTCGGTTTCCTATCCCGCGAGTCGCTTTCGTGACGGCCCCGGGGGCCGGCGAGGGTTTCCAGAGGCCGAACACAGCGAAACACCTCCCGTCCAGATTTCGCCGCGACGCGATATATGTATATATATATATATATATATATATATATCTTCGCGACGCGATCAGGCCTGGGCCCCGTCTCCCAGGGGCGGCCTCGCCGATCCCGAGTCAACCGTCCGCTTCCGTGGCGCCCCCCTCGCCTCGCCCCGAAACGCACGCCTGCGGCCAGAGTGAGGCTGGCAAGGCGAGGGCGACGTCACGGAAGGGGATGGTTTGCTCGGGGTCGGTTAAGTAAGGCCGCGCCCGAGAGGAGGAGGAGGAGGAGGAGGAGGAGGAGGAGGAGGAGGAGGAAAAGGAGAGCGGAGGAGGGAAAGGAGGAGGAGGAGCGAGTGCGGCGGAGGCGGAGGAGGAGGGGGAATGGGTCTGTTGGGCCGCGCCCGATTCTCCCTGCGCTCCTGCTCCAGAGCCGCACGGGTCCGGGCAGCCCCGGCGCCCGACGCTGGCCCGTCGCAGGGGCCGCCGGCGGCGGCCTTCCGCGGCGCCCCGCCGTCCCCAGCGGGCGGCCGCGCCGGAGGGCTGCCGCGCGCCCGCTGCGGCGGCGCTCGAGCGAGGGCTCTCGCGGACGGCGGTGCTCGCCTCCCGCCGCGAGAAAGACGTGTCGCCGACGTCCTCGTCGCTCCTCGTCGCTCCTTCTCCTCCCCACTCCTCCCCACTCCTCCTCCTCCTCCTCCCCTCCCCTCCTCTCCTCCTCCTCCTCCTCCTCCTCCTCCTCCTCCTCCTCCTCCTATTCTTCAGGGCCAGGGGAGGGTGTAGGGGTAGGGGTGAGCCACTCCCCGAAGGGGCAGAGGGAGGGGTTAGAAGAGAAACCGCTCTAGACTTAAGTCGGGCCTGTCCCTCTACAGGGGAAATATTCAGAAATAGTCTAAAAATAGCCTGGGGACTATTTTTTTGTGTTTACTTTTTTGGGACATGTGGGGAGTACTTTTTTGAGTATGTTTGATTTTTCGCCTCAAATCCCCCTGTTTTGGGACAGGCCCGACTTAACTCTAGACCACCTACGCCCAGAGGGCTGGTGGGAGTTGGCTCTCGCCTTCGCGCCGTGCACACGCGTTTGACACAGTTGCAGCAGCCTCACGGATTGAGGGCGCGTCGTCTTCGAAACGTGGCTCTCGGCCGCGCACGTCCGTCTCAAAAAGTTTGCCACCTTCACGGGTGGATGGCTGCTCCTTTTCAAAAGTTGGTTCTCGCCCTATCGCCGCGCGCACCCGTTTGCAAAAGTTCGCAATACGTTCACGAATTATCAGGGCTTACCTGCCTGACATGGTGTGTAGGACCGGTTCTTGATTGTCTCGGCGCAACAGTTGCGTTGAGTCGTTGTTTTGATGTCCCAGACGGTGTTCTGGCACGATTCAGGATCGCCAAGACGTAACAATCAGTTTAACTCGTGGCGTTGACGTCCTGAGAATGGTGTTCGGGCACGCTTCAGGATTTTGCACGGTTGTCCCCCAACGGGGCAATTCCCTCAGTGGAAGTGGACCCGTACAGGGGCCTAAGGGAGCTCGGAGGGAGGGTGTATTCCAACATCGCTGATGAGTGGTAGGTTCACACTGGTCCTCCTCCTCCTCCGCCTCCTCCTCCTCCTCTTTCTCCTCCTCTTCCTCCTCCTGCGCTCATCTCCTCCTGCGACGGCGCCGTTGATGACCGCGGCCGACGACGACGCGGCGCCTGCGACTCTCGCCCCTCAGACGGCCGACGTACGACGACGCCGCCCGACGGCCCGCGGCCACCGCCCGACGCCCGACGCCGGACGGCGGCCGACGACGACGACGACGACGGCCGACGGCCGACGACCGACGGACCTCCGACAGCCAGCAGCCGACGGCGGCGCCCGGCCGCGCCCCCGAAGGCGGCCGAGGCGGCGCGGGGCGGCAGGCGGTCCAGCGGCTCGAGGCGGCCGCCCGAGGCGGACGCCGCGGACGAGGCCGCCAGGAGGAGCGGCCCGGAGAGGGAAGCCGAG